TCTACGGACAAAAATAAAAAACTTCTCTCAAGCAACCAGAATCTAAGACTTGAGCTGCAGACAATCCCTCACAGGTTCGTGTCTTCCCGGAACAGTTGTTACAGCACTTTGCATCATCATCAAGATCGTGCAGGCCGTCGATATGGATCAAATACCCCCTCGCTCAGTCATGCCTGAACCCTCGGACCCCCGTCAGCTGTCGCCAGTCCAAATCTGCCAAATTCGAAAGTCTCGGCGGTCGTGCGAGTGGTTTCCCTCCATCTTGCAGGCATCACCTTTCCGACACAACATGCACATTTTCTGAATCTGCCCATATTCCACAATACAAATTATTCGGGACAAAAAAGGACGTATGCTGTCAGAAGTTCAGGAAGACCGAAGTGTTCCAGATAGACCTGTCCCCCGTTACTCCCGCCTTCAACCCGTCCTTTATGATCTTTTGTTAAGGAGGTCCCAGACAAGTGATTTCAAGTTCATTGCACTCTTCAATCCGCCCAGGATTTGTCTGAAAATTTCAAAAAGGGAAAAAGATCCACAGGAATGGACCACTTCCTCGTGCTGGAATAGCACTCAGTGGAATTTTTGTGCTTGCTGATGCCCAATCTGCCACAAACTCCACTTGCTTCCCCCTGATTTCCATCTCCACTTTCACCCGCACCCCAATGACTGCCGCTAGTCTGATTTAAAATGCGGCTGCAGGAGAACCTGTTTTCCGCAAAACACTGAAACTCACTTTGGCTCCAACACGACCTGCGCTTCCGACTTCTCCAGCATTAGCTTCCCAAGGCCAGCCAGCGTCACCATCTCTCCCTTCTGCGCCTGGACGTGATCCGCCATCGTTTGTCAAACACTTGAAACTTATCGTATTCCTCTGAAAGTTGCTTTCTTCTTAAAACTCGCACGTGTCTGAAACTTATTCCTGCAGTAGCAGCTAGCCCAACACACCAGCAAAAATTTCAGCACCAAAGCTACCTTTGTGGAGTTGAAACACCCGGACAGACGCACATACACACACACACCGCGGATAGCTGTAGTATACGTATTCGCATTTGTATAAACGTGCAAGAAGGCATAATGCGAGCTAGAGATGTTGCATAACCTATGCATGTAATATAACACGCACGCAT